TCTTGAGGAACGAATATTTACTGTAATGTGGCATTCGAACTTAAAAAGAAACCTTTATCATATTCAAATTAAAAATTGTTATTTAACTGCCCATATAACGTTTTATTACTAATGTACGAGAAATTTTGGACGGAGACCGTAATCACTTTTTACATGAACTGTTGTTTGGTTGTTATTTATTTCGTATTGGACTTTTTTGGATGAAGCGTAGAGCCGACTCAACAGTAATTAGACCATTAAAACAATTGAAGAAGGATAAAAAGATCACTGAGTTATAAAAAATGATAGATTTAATAGTTAAAGTGAGATAATGATTAAAAAAACGATAAAGTATTATTCCTTATTCTTTTACTCAAAAATACTTCAATATCAAGTACAACTGATTACAAAGTGTATTCAGGTAGGATATACTGTTTTAATGTAACCCTACAAGATATTTCTGTATATATATTAAAACAGTATGAATTTTCCACAGCACTGAATGTCTATAAAATAGTTGAATGCGGTCTTGAAAATATTTACGATATTTTGGACTAACAAAAAATTATGATGGTGAACTAAAACCATAATTAATATTTGCTATATAGGGTGGAGAAGATTTGTAGCTCAAGTGGATGATTTTGATAGAGTTTTGTTCTCTGAACTGCATGGTTTGGTCGTGGAGCTTTCATCTTTCTTCTGAATGACATCACCAGCACAAACTTCAGACTTCTATCTGAAGCTCAAAGAACAAAACTCCATCAAAATTTGCTATGTATATTTAATTATTAAGTTATTCATTCATCATTTTCTGTCCATAATCATTGAGAATAAATTTACATGATGGGAACCAGGAGTTATTTACTGATCGACTCAAATATATTGATTTATTCCGAATAAATGAAAAAAAGATACTAACTACTTAAGCAGAATCTGTACATAAATTATGCAAATGTCAATTCTTTGTGTTAACTTACATTTTATAATGCATCGCTGAATATTCCATCTATCTTTTGTTCAACCGACTTATTTCTCATAGTGATTGAAAATACTTAGTGTATCCCATATTTTTTTCATAATGTATTCTCCCTATATATATATATATATATATATATATATATATATATATATATATATACGGGTTGTTCGTTGTTGAAAACCATACACTTATTCATAATGTCACCCAATCGAATTATTATAACATAAACAGTATTATATTTTAGATTAAACTGTCAGATTCGAGCGACCAAACTTTTGGCGATTTAATATACTGTTTGGTTGTGTTATCAAGTAAATTGATGTTTTTCAAATTAGACTAAACATATTGTATAATGCTTACGATTACAGGAAAGGAAATTTACTGTCTGATTAGATTATTATGAAGAGAAATGATTTTACTAACTGATACTCTTATCAATTTACACCTAATCAGTTCAAAAATGTCACCTATTTGGTTGGAATTTTTGGAAAAGTTTCGTTTCTTATCTCTTGAAATAATTCTGTGGAATGTTATAATTCACTGGTAAAGTTATATCTATTACCACATATATTAGTTACTGTGTTATTTATTACTTAAGCTGTATAACTAAGGAGTTGACCTTAATTCATTGATCATTTTTTGGTGTGTGCTACTTGTGTACACGTAAGTAGTATATAACAATAGTTAGGAATAGAATGTATTTCAGTAGAAGATGGAAAAGGAAAGAAAGGGAACGAGAAGGAATCGGTATGAAAATGTAGGAACAGTGAAATCTAAGGCGATGGACTGATATTTGCAAAAGGAACAGTCGTTTGACACAATGGATTAATATTTTGCAAAATGAAGATTTACTGTATGATTCTCAAATTTTATTGAGATACTCTCTAATTTTTCGTTCAATTACATTCGATTGTCCCCACTTGTGCTCTTGTTCACTACAATTTCAGTTCATCCTACAAATAAACATTTATTATTCTAGGAGTTTATTTAAATGGGAATGATACGGTGGGAAATGATTCATTATTTTAGTTATTTCAAACCCATCTAACAGCTAATGTTTCAATTACAGAAAATCTTTTGTCAAAGTGTTGAAACGAATCACTACTAATTACAACACTACAGTAAAAAAATGACGGAATAATTCCTTTTTTCCTAAATAGATGACAATTTCTACAAATTATTCTGACATATTTAATAAGCTGTATTAGATGGTGGTTAGAGGTAGTCAACAGGAAACCCTGGACCCAGGTTTCGTGCAACTCGGCACTCGTCAGCAAGGTGTACCTGTAATCTTGAGGGAACTGGTGCTCGATGGCGGATTCGATACAGTGTCACCCAGCTTCACAGTTAGAGACGTTACCACTGGGCTATTCGGGCTGTGACTGACCTCCTGTAGGACTGAGATGTAATCACAATTGATTGATCACTTGGTGGTGATCAATGTCATGTGTGTGAAGTCCTTCTTGGTGCAGATCGAATGCTATCGGCCAAGTAGCAAGAAACCCGGTTCTAGGTTTTCCTGTTAACTACCGCCAGCCACCATCTAATCTCAACATAGTGCACGCAATGTCGAGTCATTTAGACTAGTGGCCAAATTGCAACTTGGTCGATCTGCACTAGGAAGGACTTGACACACATGATATTGATCACCATCCAGTGATCAATCAATTGTGAATAAGCTGTATTTCTTTCTGAGAAAAAGACAAGAAATAGATATGAAAAAACAAACAAAACAATATAGACTAAGTAGATAAACACAAAATCTAAAACTAATGATAATTTCTCTATGTCCATCAAAAAAAAGAAGAACAACAAACGATAACATAGCATCTGGAACATCCATCTTCATCATCATTACTCAGATGCTTGTTATCATTATTAGTGAAGGATATTAAAAAAGACATAGTACTTACAAATTACTGTAAAATGTAGTGTACTTCAACTATCTCAATTCAGAAATATAAACTTTTACTTTGATCAAAGGCGAAGATATATATACCATTTATAATTGTACAAGACATAATTCTAACAGTTTGTTTATATCTTTCAATAATAGTCATATGATCTATCATATCAACTGTATACATTCTTTTGTAGACTTTATATAAACAACATCTTTTAGCATCAAACTAATATATATATATATATATATATATATATATATATATATATATATATATATATATATATATATATATATATATATATATATATATATATATATATATATATATATATACTTTTCTACCTGTGCATATTCAAGAAGGAAAATACATAAGAACTGAGAAAATGGGTAAGGGACTAACTAAAAAACAAAAAGCAAAGAAACAAACAATCGATGAATACATGAACAAAAATGTAGTATTTCCGGTCAATCCTAAAAAAAGGTACCAGCAGTTCATTTTGTAGTTCAACTGTTCATATATAACAATAATGGTAATAATCATAATTTATTATTATTATTATATTACTGGAGAATAGTTTTCTTTTGACAGACATACGTATAACACAATTCAGGAAATGAATAACTTGTTATGTTCAATAAACATACATTCTATACACTACAATTAATACTATTTTACTTAGTTTTATGGATACTCCCTTTTTATATCTTTTTATTGTTGTTGTCTCCTTTTTCTGTCTATGTCTAGTGTATGTCAATCCAGTTTAAAGGAAACATCATTTATTAGAATAAATAATGTTTACTTTTAAATTATTTGTTGTATCTTTATTTAGTTATTCATAATTAAAGTTTAACAAGGTTAACACTGAAATGTTTTATCTTTCAAACAAGTTAGTTTATCGAATATAATAGAAATATCGTGATTGTTTAAATGAATAGATACTTTTCTTTTTAAAAGCTTCATATATATAAAGTACAGCTTAAGGTTCCGTCAAAAAAGCACAAAAGTTAAATATATCAACAATTTTATATTAGAAGGAGTTTTGTGGAGATTTGAGAAATTTTTATAGTTGAATTTATGAGCCGATTGAAGCTAGACTACCATAGAAAACCTGAAAGAACTGGACGAACGTTTCGTGTGGTAATCCTCAACTGCGTGTATCCACGGTCCCGCCCCCTATGACATTCGAACCCAAGATCTACTAGCTTCGTGAGCGAACACTTAGTCTCTAGACCACTGAACTGGTATCGTATGCTAACTAGTGACTGGCTTCAAGAGACATTTCCTGGAGTTCTAGTGAGTAGTAGTGACCAGTGGAGTTCGACTGGGTTTGTTGTAAGATTGGTTGAAGTTAGACATTAAAACCGTTGGATTCTGGCCATCTCAGTGGTCTAGTGGTTAAGCGCTCGTGCGCGAGTCTTATAGGTCCTGGGTTCGAATCTTACGAAGCGAGATCGTGGATGCACAATGCTGAGGAGTCCCACAATAGGATGAGACTGCCGTCCAACGCTACGAGGTTTTCCATGATGGTCTAGCTTAAATCGATTCATAAATTCAACTATAAAACTATATATTAACTTAATTTTGTTATCATCAGGTTTCAGTACATAAGTATATTAAAATTTTCTTGAAAGGATATTGTGAAGATTAATTTCATTTGAAGGTAGTCTTTGTTATTTATTAATCTCAACTGAGTTCATAGAGTATTGAGTAGTTGACTTTTTAAAAATTTTAAACTGCTTACTAACACTTACTCGAATCTATGAATTTTAGTTCATATGGGGAATGCTTAAGCACTTGGACCATTGGGTAAGGGTTTATTAATACAAATTCAACTTCACCTAGTCATTCCACAAAGGTACTTTGTGAAGATTGATAGATAATATTTGTCATAAACTGGTCTGAATTAAGGTATTTTTGAAAATATTTTAAAAGATGGATCATAAATTAAACCAATATCATTGGTTCGAATTTTTATTTTAACTGACAAATCTAACTAATGATCAAATCACGATCTCGATCACATTATCATAAAAATGGCTATTATTGAAATGATTTCAATCTGTTTAAAAGAAAGCATTACATGTGATACATGTATTAAATATTTAACATTCATTTTCGTTTCTTCTTTTTTATAGCTGGTAGACGATCAGAAAAACCACCATATTCTTATATTGCATTAATTGCAATGGCTATCAAAGCATCTCCATCAAAACGATGTACATTAAGCGAAATCTATCAGTATCTTCATACACAATTTCCATTCTTTCGTGGACAGTATACTGGATGGAAAAATTCAGTTCGACATAATCTATCATTGAATGAAGTTTTTATTAAATTACCAAAAGGTAAGTGTATATTAACATTTCTGTTTAAAAAAAACAGTGATTAAAATGGAGTTACAGTTATTACGGTTAACACTTAAGCATTGGAACTAGTCGTACCATTCGACAAATGCAACCTGCGTATAAAATCACTCTCTGTAAAATAGCTTTCACTAAAATCCAAGTCATTCAACGAGTAACTTATTTCAAGATGTTCCTGAAGTCCTTGTAAGTAGTTGCAACTGATGGAGTTTAGACGTATCTTGAGTGAAACAGCTCTGACCAGTGGTATCATATAATAGTCGAATTATATATCAAACCGATCCAAGTTGTAACTGATATACTGGATATCAAGTCAATGGTCTTAAAGTTTTAGGATTTATCGCGAAACCTGTAGATCTTGGATAGAATCCTTATTAGTGTCGTGAATAATCTTTTATCAGGAAAAGATATCTGCTTAGTGTCCACCAATTTGTAGCAGTATTCTGAATGACACGAATCTGTAACAATTACAGCCTAAAAATTTGTTAACGTTCAAAACAGTTCTCATTACTGTATTATAGGAAGATAAAGAACTTTTAAAAGTGAACGAATACTGACCAGCCGTTTATTCTTGTTTGAAACTTCGTAACTGTAAATCATGCAAAAGTTGACGTAAAATACTTCAAATAACTTTCAAATCTGTTGAGTACCATATTAATCATTTATTTAGTCAGAGTTTATTAATTTACATTTTTTAAACTTTATTAAATACTCTGTATGGTTCAGTTAAAGTCCAATGATATAGATGAGTAACAGTTTCACTTTCATATTATAGACCATCATCATTCAATTCTCACATCATTCTAGTAACATGATTAATAGAATTATAAAACTACATCAAATATGATACAATTTCTTGTTGCGTACCCATTTTTTCTTTTCTCTACCTTATTTATGATTCATTCGAATACACATTAAGATCAAGTAATGAAATGGTTACTTTAATGTTTTATCAGTTATAAACTTAGAGTTATGGTGGATGTATCGCTTGATTTCGTGGATTAGTTAAAGTTAGACATTAATACCATTGAATGCCGGCTCAGTGTCTTGTAGATTAAGTGTTTGCCCGAGAGACCAATAGGTCCTGTGTTCAGATCTCACGAGGTAGGATCCTGGATGTGCACTGCTGAAGAGCCCCATACTAGGACGAAGCTGTCATCCAGTGCTTCCGGATTTTCCATGATGGTTTAGCTTCAATTGGCTCCTGATCCCGAGTATTAAAAAATTGTTAATAGGGAAATTTGTACAAACCAACAATACCATTAATAGCAATAATTAAGATGATGTATAAATTTAAAAAAAGAAAAAAAAGAAGAAGAAAATGAAATCCATTTATCACAAAAACAAGATGTGAACGTGAGTTTTATAATATCGTACATTTCTATTCATTTGCATACTCTGTAATAAATCTATGTATTTAGGAAATAGGTACCAATTTAAAAAAACATATACATATAAATATTTTCACCTTACGATATGCTTATTTAAACAAAATGTCTACCGACTATAATCAGATATTAATAGTATTGTTAATCCTTTCTAAGTAATGGTAGAAATGCTGAGGTTATCCACAACATATTCATTGATCAGTATGTATATCATATCCACTATTTTTGGCCACTTTTCCGTTCATTTAATGAGATAGCTATATATGTGAATGATTTTTTCATCAAAGATTAGATTCCACCTGTAGCTCTTCTAAGGTTACTGTCGATCCCAAGTCCGAGTAGAGGAGAAGGGTTATGCATGTTGTCAACAACCCCATCACTTAGAAAATAACTTTGCTTAAAAACATAATTTATTATCAACAACTATCTAATATGTTAATGTGAATATAGCCTAGGTCGAAATACCAGATTGATAAATAATAATATTGTTTAAATACATATTAATATACTACAGTCTTATACTAAATGAAGAGAAAAAATAGCTGAAAATATTAGAATACAACATACATAATGAGTATCGAAGATAACCATGATTAATATTAGATAATAAGCTTTTGCAAATTTACTTCTTATATTTTATTAAAAATATTTCATTTACAGATTACTTCATTCATCAACTTGAAATAACACTAAACATGAATGAATTAGTACAGTAAAAAAACAAACAGAAAAACAAAAATAATAAATTTTTTATTAGTATCAGAAGGGATTTTGTGGAGACTGTAATAATTTCAATAGTTGTGATTAGGAGTAAATTGAAGCTAGATCACCATGAAAAAACTATTGTGGGACTCCTCAGCAGTGTGCATCCACGATCCCGCCCCCCGCGAGTTTCAAACCTGAGACCTATTAGTCTCACGCGCGAGCGCTTAACAACTAGACCATTGAGACAGGAGCCAACGGTGTTAATGTCTAACTTCAACTAATCCACGAAATTGAGTTATACATCCACCATTGTTATCAGTGAGTTGCTATCTCACAACTGATCCGGTTAAACTCCATTGGTCACTGCTTCTCACTAGAACTCCAGGATATGCATCTTGAAGCCAATCATTAGTGGGCATATGTTGATCAGTATCAGAAGGGGTTATTTTGTGGAGATTGTAGTAATTTCAATAGTTGTGATCATGAGTCAATTGAAGCTAAAGCACCATGAAGAGTTTGGAAGCAATGGATGGCCGTTTCGTCTTATTGTGTGAATTATCAGCAATACGCATCCACGAGACGGGATCGTGGATGTACACTGCTGTGGAGTCTCATACTAGGACAAAACGGCTATCCAGTGCTTCCAGGTTTTCAATGATAGTCTAACAACAATCAGTTCATGATCTCAACTATTCAAGTTTATTTTTATTAATAATACATTAATCATCTTGTTTATATCCCGAAAAAGTTTCTAAAATTATGTTAATGAACAGATTTTAAATTTCATAGGTATACACCCATTTAATATACATTTTGAACCTTTCTCTAATAATCTAAATATGATAATTGAATGTCATACATTTTCACACTATAAAAATCCGTCTAAAACATTATGAAACATTTATTATATTATTAATTACTATCATACATCAAAGGTAATAAGCACATTATGTATGTATTTAGAATTTTTACATTTTCATATATATACTGGAGATACCATAGATCACAAATAATTATATAAATAATTCATTACAACAACACATGATATTCATTGTAATTTATACAATCAAATTGTGACAATTACTTAATAGGCTATTTGTTATCAAATAGGTATTAGTTTAAGACTTTCAAAATAAATAACTGAATAAATAAGTTTATAATTATTCTAGTGATTCAATAAATAAAAATCGTCTTTATTTATGATCATATTATACATATACGGTTTGTGAAGTTCCTATAGATAGAGCGTCCCAGTATATATATGTATATATAGACGTGATCAATGAGTGGAATGTTTGTACGAGTAGAGAATCATAGATAGTTAAATATAAAAACCTTACGAAATTCACATGATCTTTTAATGTAAAATTTAACTTTGTTTTTTGATTGATCTCATGAACCGATTGATGTTAGACAACCATTAAAACCTGGAAGCACTGGACAACCGTTTCGTCTTATTGTGGGACTCCTCATCAGTGCGCATACACAGTCCACAAGCGGGATCAAAATCCAGGGAATTCGGTCATGCGAGTGAACACTTAACCTCTAGCCCACTGAGCCGGTATTCAATGACGCTAATGTCTAACCTCAAACAATCCACGATATTGGGCGACCATCTTTCCTGTAGGTACCTGTCCCTACCTGATATAGATTTCCTCCACTGGTCACGGCTACTCACTAGAACTCCGGGAAATCTCTCACGAAGCTAGTCACTAGTGAGCACATGGTAATTATTAGTATGGGATTGTGGAGATTATTAAGTTTTTGATTGAGAACTTGAATCGACTGATGTTAGACCACCACCATAACCCCATATGGATGAAATTTACTCATTAAGTCGTAGTAGTAAAGTGTCTCACCAGAGGTTCGTATCTGAGAGCCTACTTAGAAAAGGATCTAGGATCTTTAAACTTTCCAGAGACCAACTGAATTTTAGATTATTTCTAAATTTAATCAGTTTGCGATATCGAACATAAAAATTGTCTTGTATTTATCTCCAGAATGAGAGTAGTGGTTTGACATTTGTTATTCTTTTGAACTCATGTATATAAATGTACTAATTTATAATCAATTTTACAAAATATTCAATAGAATTATTTAAGTTTTTCAACAAAAAGAATTTTATCTCCTAGTGGGATCTTTGAAAAATTGTCAGTACCAGTGATATTACAGTCATTTTAAAAGAATATCAATTAATTTTATTCCGTTAAGTATTTTATTATATGTTTTTATGTTCAATGTGCTATAAATGTTTGTCATGCTACTTAGGTATGGGTCGTCCTGGAAAAGGTCATTACTGGACTATTGATCCAGCAGCAGAATTTATGTTTCAAGATGGTGCATCAAGAAGACGACCAAGAGGTTTTCGAAGAAAATGTGCATCAGCAGCAGCAGCTGCTGCCGCTGCCGCAGTAGCGGCAGCAGTTGCAGTGAATATTTCATCAGGAAATAATTATTCACAAATAACTCATGATAATACAATGCATAAAATTTCCACAACACCTTTTGATAGTTTTAATTTAGGAAATATGGGTCATGATTTATTGTTAACTAAAGAGATGACACGATTTTTTATACCGAATTCAGCAAATACTCGTGGTATGAATTATGATAGTATAAATACTGCTTCTAAACTTCAACCACTTTCTAACGGATTGTCAATTTCATCAAATTTGAATATGACAAATTCAACATCAGTTAAGTGTGTAGAACTAGAAGGTATTGGACCATCATCTTCGTCGTCTTCCATTGACAGTGTTTTCTGTAATCGTACTACAGCTAATTTAAATGGACAAATACATGGATCCAGTACACCAGCTTCAGTTTCATTTGATAATGTATTCCGTGCACAATCAGATTCTTTTGGGATAAAGTTATCAAGTTCACCAATGGAAATTCCAACAATAACAACCCAACTTACAGAAAATATACATGTTTCTAGAACAAACTCAGGAGATTTAGATCCTTCACCATACAGTTTTATGAACTCATCAGAACATCTAAGAAACAATAATGGTAATATCTCAGTTAGTCAACAACTGCCTCCAATTTACCAAACTATGATTCATAAAACATTACCATGTATACGAAACTCAAATCCTACAACTGTCTCTTCACTTTATAAACCTACTGTTTCTGACGCATATATTGGTTCAGTGAATATAAGTAACAATACTCAACATCATGAAGACATAGAAATAGATTATTCAACATATTATAGTAGAGAAAAAGATCCACAAATAAGTGGCTCACATTCAACCGCAATAAAAATAAACCATCACAATTTATATGAAAATAACTTCAATCTTATACAACATTCTCAGGGTTTATTGTTAAATACAAAAGAATTGAGTTTACTAAGTCATAACAATGAACAATTAAGTAGTGATCTTGATGTACGTTGGTCTAATGAACATGTATGTTGGCCATGTGGTACATCTATAAAACGAAACCAGATGTTTAATCAAAAAGAGTGTGATCATACAGATATCCCTTCAAATACAATAGAATCAAATTTATACACTAATGAGATTTTTAATGTTTCTCAAATAAATATTAATTCTTGTAATAATAATAATAATAATAGCACAACTGTTAACGATTTCAATGATCCTACAAGAAGAATAGTTGAAAGATTTCAAGAACATGATAATGCTCTATACACAAGAGCATTATTATCTCCATCTTCTAAAAGTAATTCACAATTAATTGATTCAAACAATATACCAAACATTCAACATACTAACTTAACAAAATCCGATGAATCAAATCGAATAAATTATTCAATAAGTTCACTTGATAATGATATTAATATTCATATGAAAGATTCATGTCATCCTAAATGTCCACGAATTGAAAATAGTCAAAATAAAAATGAAGGTAAATTAATAAATAATTTAGTATCAGAAGGGGTTTTGTGGAGATTGTTGTAATTTCATTAGTTGAGATCATGAAACAATTGAAGATAGATCATCATGAAAAACCTGGACGAAACGGCCATCCAGTGCTTCCAGGTTTTCCATGGTGATCTAGCTTCAATTGACTCATGATCTCAACTATTGAAATTACAGAATAATTAATTATATTCTAATTTTAAAAATGTAAAATCATATTGTTGAACATTTTTTATGTAACTTGTTAACTTACATTGAATGTATTGATGCTTAAGGTAATTAACGAGTAATTTTTAAGTCATAACTAGTTTATATTGACTGATAATTACAATTTTTCACCAGTGGATGGAAGCCAAAAAACACTAATCACTAGAATTATCGACTAGACTAAAGAATGAAAATTATACAAACTATATAGGTATTTAATAGATAAATTCAGCTAACATGAATAGTTTAGTCGAATAAAATTTCAAACAAATTATTTATAATTTCAATAGTTGAGATCATAAGTTAATTGAAGCTAAACCACCGTGGAAAACCTTAAAGAACTGGACGGCCATTACGTCCTATTGTAGGACTCCTCATCAGTGCGCACCCATTATACTGCCTTGTGATATTCGAACACAGGACCTATCGGTCTCGCATGAGAACGCTTATCTCCTAAACTACTGAGCAGGTATTCAATGGTGTTAATATCTAACCTTAACTAATCTACAAGATTGAATGACACATCCACTATTGTCATCAGTGAGTTACTATCTCACAAGTTTGAAGAAGTCTAGTTAAAATACCATCCTTCTACGAGATTGACTGAAATCACAATAGAGACCATAATTTCACTAACATTAAAAAATATCCATACCACAATCTCCATACTTAACGGAAGATATTGGAAATTCTGTGATTTCATTATGTGTATGAATGATTAAAAAATTACTTCAAAATAGGTTATATAATTTATAAAAATACACAAGCTTTTTGTTGTACTTGGGACTCGTCCATTGGAGTTTAATGTATCTTAGTATTGATATTCATATCAAAACTTGAACTGAGTACTTTACGCTTTGAACATCCAATGCATTATCCTCTGAGCTATTGAGTTCAGACAACCACTAACTAATTTAAAGTTTACAGTAATCAAAACATTTAAAACTAACTCATTTATATAACAATACAATACACTATATACAGTATCACTAGTTGTGAATCGGTCGTGATATCTCATTGAACTCATTATTTCATAATTTCACAAAGATGAATATCTAGATTGCTTTATTTTTTGTGTAGATTGTATACATCTAGAGAAACTGGTTAATATATAGTATGAGTAAAATTGAAGTCATCAATTGGTACACTGGTGAACTCTTCTGTGAAAATGAAGATGACCTCATATGGGTAATTGAAAACTAATTCATTCGTATGTGATATTAGATAATAGACTATCCTAGATTGTAATTGGAATATATATAAGAGATATTCTATATAAGGAATGTTCCTAACTTCAATTATTTAGTTTGGTTTTAGAGTTATTTCGACTATAGGAGATTAGATTCTATTTATGAACCGGTTATAAAATGATAATTATTGTCAGGTTATGATATTTTATAAAAATTGACATTTATTTATTTCTTAATCAACCCAATAGATGTTAATTTTATTCTTCATATTTTCATAATTGAAATATCTTTCTTTAACATTTGATTAATTTTCGAAGTAACAAAACTCTAACAAACCCCGATAATATTTCAGGCAGGAATCTAGCATTATATAAAAGTTACAATTTATTTGTAGTTATCATACTGCTTTACTTTTATTGATTATAGTTAGACTCATCTAAGGATACACTTATGTTGAGATGTTAAGTGGTTATAGGTAGTTGACAGGAAACTATTTACCCAGGTTTCATGCTAGTTAAAACTCATCAAATAGGATGGAACACCTGAAATCTTAAAGAAATTGATACTCTTTGTGGCCTTCAATACCTGAATAACCCGGTTGTCAAATCTTGACATTTCAACATAATGTATGTGATGTTGAGTCATATTGACTGGTGTTTACATTTCATCAATTGAATTCGTTACACAAAGACTTAAGAAACATAACACTAGTTAAGAATCAGTGATTAGTCAATTCTGAGAAACCATTTAAACTGTGTGGTGATTAAATGTTATATTAAATTTTCTGTATCTATCCATTGAAATTCATTTGATAATCTTTGTTAAAGAATTTCATATCATTTTATTTTTATAATTTTTTTACGTAGAAATTCATGAAGGAAATGAAATATTAGCATACAATACAACAACGGATTCATTATCAACATTTATTACTAGTCCACAATCACAAAAACATAACTATATGTGAATATTTATTTGGTTAATTAATTCATTATTTACTCGTTTATGAGTAGTATAATGTACTATTCAAAATTTCATTACTTTTACGATTGTTCTTTTTTTTTTAATTTTGTTTCATTTAACTCCTTATATACATATACAAGTAAAAAACAGTTTCGTCAAATGTTTAACATATATACATATATTTTCATTTAAACGTTTACATTGACGTATATATGAATATAAAATAACAGTATTCTTGGATAGTTCGTTTATCCAAACTAACCCACCTTTCGTCTTAATCATTCATCTGTCTTCTTCATCATATTATTTGTTGTTCTTCTCGTGAAGTTCACCTATCTATCTAACTTTATATATATCAGCATTCATGTGGTTAAACATTATAAAAAGAAGAAATACTACTAACTATTATTAATAGAATTAGCTTTTTGTGATTTACCTTTCACATTGACAATTCACAAAATGCAATTTCTATATATTGAAATCTAAATGCATGTGTTCATATTTCTCAGTCAACAATTTTAAATTTATATATAAAATTAAATTATGTTGAATAATTGTGAATTAAATAATGATCTTTGAATTTTTAGTATCTATGACTTTATTAATAAATCAATGACAAAGGAAAGAAAGAAAGAAAATGTTAGATGAAAATATGTTTGTTTATCTGAAGTTTTTTTCCTTTTTAATGAACACATATAATGCTGTTTATACTACTGATGTCTATAATATTACTAATAATATGAAATGATAATTATTTCTATCTTTTTTATATATAAATCTATTGAAGATCATTTATATTTATAATGAATTTGTAAGTTATTTTCATTACAATCAGTTGAGTGGAACTCATCACAATACATCAACCTCATTGATTATGAAAAGGCATTTGATAGTGTAGATAGGAGGACGTTATGGAAACTTATACGACATTATGGAGTTCCTGAGTAGATTGTCAACATTATCCGGAACTCATACGACGGACCACGGTGCAAAGTCGTGCATGGAGGACAGATGCATTCCAATTTACGACCGGAGTCAACGCTGTATACTCTCTCCCTACCTCTTTCTTTTGGTAGTTGACTAGATTATGAAGACCTCGACATCTAAGGGGAAAATGACATACAATGGACAGCTCAGAACCAACTAGACGATTTGGACTATGCAGGTGACCTAGCCCTCCTATCGCATACACACGAACAAATGCAGATAAAGACAGCCAGTGTGGCGGAAGTCTCTGCATCAGTAGGCCTCAACATACACAAGAGGAAAACCAAGGTCCTTAAATACAACACGGGGAACACCAATCCAATCACACTTGATGGCCAAACTCTGGAAAATGTGCAATCCTTCACATACCTGGGAAGCATCATCGATCATTAAGGAAGATCAGATGCAGACATAAAGACGAGGATTGGCTAAGCAAAGGCCACATTCCTACAATTGAAGAACATATGGAACTCAAAACAACTTTCAACAAACATCAAACTGAGAATCTTCAATACGAACGTCTAGACAGTTATACTGTATGGAGCTGGAACTTCGGGAACTACTACAACCATCATCAAGAATGTACAAATATTTATAAATAGTTGTCTATGCAAGATTTTCAACATTCATTGGTCGGATACTATCAGCAACTGCCTTCTGTGAGAGAGAACAAATCATATATATATATATATATATATATATATATATATATATATATATATATATATAATTACTGAAATTAGTGCATTATACTAGTGGGATTTTTAATCATACTACAATTATCTGTGGCTTATATTACAGATCTTGGGAAGATGGTTGCTTAAAGCAGTCATTTATCTTGATTAAGGCACTAGAGAGAGTTTTCTCATATTCCTTTCAATTATGATATAAAATATATGACCTAAGTGAATTGATAACACTTTCTTTTATTAAAAGAATAAACTTCTAGTCTAACTAAATTGTATGTGAATAGATGATTTTTTGCTTTGATTGCAACTTTATGTATTACTCTCAGGATTACCAATGTCAATTTCGTCCATAGAAAAATGACATCATTTACCGAAGTATCAAGGTATTATTTTCGTGTTACCCTTAACTAGATATGAAAGATGTTGTTGATATTCTTCATTAGAAAGTCAGTATTTTCACTTTCCTTATTTCTCAGCTAATTATGTCATTTTTGACAGAACTTTTTTATGTTACAAACATATTTATTGGTACATGAAGGAAGTCACTTTATTACTATCAGAAACTAAGCATAAATGCCAATATTTGATAAACTTTTTTTAGAAATTAATCACAGTGACCAATATGCAGTTAGCTTTCTATTTATTTGACAGCTTTTTTAGCGAATTTCAAAGTATTGTTGTTGTTATGTGATTCGTCAAAGTTATTAATGTTTTCTTTAGGTAAATGCTAACTAATCAATTTATTCAATAATTTTTTTCCTTACTAACAGTGAAAATCAGCATTTATTTGTTCATAATGTACACTGATTAATCATTGGCTAGTGACCAGTTATATTTATCTAGCCCTCAGTAATGTTTAATTTCTGAAATTTGGCCACTAGTTTCAAGGAATGTACATTGTGTTTGATGCACGGTGGTTTAAAGTAGTAGACCAGAAGCCCTGAACAAATGTTTGATTTCAGCTGGCACTCATCATCAAGGTGTATCTGAAATTGTGTTGGATACTGGTGCGGATTGTGGGACATGGACATGTGTCACTTAGCTTTATAGTCTGAGACCATGATATGAAAAACCCTATCTAAATGATGTAGTTTATTAATCTAAGATGTTCTATTGAGTTGAGTGATTTGTAAAGATTTACGAAGATATCAGCCTATGCAACCCAAACTCTTTGTGAAAAAAGTATTTTGGTCATTATTCACGTCATTCTCTCTGAAGTAACAGTTCTCTATTTAATTAATAGTTCCTTAAATTCCTCAACTAATAGTGGTAATACAATTAAACAAACTAAAATATCAGAAAGAATTCTGTGATTTAATGTTAATTAGTGATTTTTCAAAAGCGAATTGGAAATCTAGTTTCTGAAATCGAAACCAGTTCAATTTATAGGGATCGTCATCACGAAATTTGAGGTATGAGGCTACCAACAAAAGTGGAATCTTTACTACAAAAAAAGCATTCGATGAAGTCCTATATTCTAGGCTGCTATCTATATATAACGACACTCAAATTAGTGGGAATTCAAGTTATAGTTTAAGGACTTTACAGCTGGTTATCGTCAAGCAGTTCAGGCAGAAAATAACGTTGAGTAGCTTGACTGACAATGTTATTTTTTTCGTACTCAGACGACAACAAGATAAGGATACTTAGAGGCTTGAGTAAGATATGGATACATTAGTTCGACGTTCGAGTCCAATAAATACCAGTTGTTGCTATCGATTGCATGATAATCCATATTTATTGTGAAATGACGATCAAATACATACTGAATTGTTACTTTGCGTGCAAACACAGATCCAAGAGAATTATTATACGTCGAGACTTGAAAACCATTGCACATTGTAAGACAATAGATATAAAGAGTTTAAGGATCTTTAGCATAAAACATTTTAGTCACCTAAATGCTATAGTGTAGTCTGGGGTACAATGGACAAACACTGTATGAAAAAGACTATGAACTACTCGAAAAATAACGACGAAGCAACCTCAGGAACGTACTATTATGATATAGGAGAAACTTCAGCGACTTGGTTATAATATCCCATTTACTTAACAGTGATTTTTGTAACTTTCGTTTTCTTGCTTTACAGATAAGAAAACAATCTAGAGCACAACAAAAAATCAGATATTCCGAACCAGTTATTATCAAACTGATTACCAACCTTTACATTAAGTCATGAGTGACTAAAATCATATTCATAAACAAGTAGTAATGGCCTCGTTAAATTTATACTCGAAATAAGGTTAGATTAATTAAGAAACAACTATCTACAAAGTAAGTATAGACTTTACCAAATCCCTGTTTACATTAAGTGAAATATGTATTTCTACACTACTTACTTGACTAATAGTTATTTCTTGTTAGTAATTTTATGGTTTATTATAGCAAATGAAATCCCGAATTGGCTGAAAATTGGATACGGAACACTTATGAATCACGTGAACAATCAAGGGATGGATATTCGTACTGTCCATTTGTCACAATGATATAACTGTTTTGAGATTAACTTTGCAGGTTATTACAGGGTAATCGACCAGCAGATACTTAAAAAAGCTTCTTAGAATACAATCTCAACTGTTTTATGTGAAAATAAGCTATGATTATGATTGGATCTTCCAGCTATAAACTGAAAGAATAAAACATATAACTAAAGCTGTTGGATTGGAACTAGTTATTATATAAGTAGTTATATAATCCAAACGTTGTCACTGCGTTTTAAGAGATGTGGATGAAGATAGATATTTGTTGGAATGAATATTAAAATTACAATATCTATGTTACATATTTTGCTGAAAGGTCATATAATTTCTATTTCAGCAGTTATTGATTGTCAACGAAAACAACTGACCTTCCGTAGTATAATTAAACCAGAGGAGAACGAGAGAAGATACGCTAGTTGGATCAAGATTGCAAACATCTAGTTCCTTTGAGTCTGATTTTAAGAGGACTTTGTTTAATGTCACCAGTTTAACGTTCAGCTTGTCAACGGTAAATAGTGTAGGGCTTATTAATGTACTGAATATCACACAACTGTTGGAGTGTAGATCATTCTATGTACAAGTGACATTTAGCAAATTTTCAGCATTAACCCCTTTAATCGACGTAGGGGTTTTGAGAGGTTATCATTTACAACTTCACTTATCAAAACCCTGCCGTTTATTTTCACATATCTGTATAAATAGACGAGAACTATTTGCACAAAGAAAACTATAAACAGTCGTCTTTATTTTTACATTAGTTAAATTGTTTCACACTATCTCCATGTAAAAATTCTATCACAATTTTGGTTTGTAAGCAGCTGACGAGAAACCTCGAAATAATATGAATTCATACTATTCTGCATCAATGTTTGTTCTTGCTCTATTTCAATTCATAAAGGGAACCAATTGCATGAAATTTCTGAAAAGCCGTCTCCCTGTCCACATTTTCAAGTCACTCAACAACTTGGTGACAATTCGTTGCAGGATATCGAGAGAAACAACAAGATTACAGTTTTTGTCACGTTGCCTTAACGATGGCTGCTTTCCTCGCCACATTTTTAAAGCTGTCCGCGCCTGTAAAATACCTCCTTCGTTAAAAAATCTTCGACGTGTCACCAAATCCCAAACTGAATGCACTAAGGATCTTATCTCTAAACTTAAAATAGAATCCTTTGGTTATGATAAAATCGTTATGGATTTAAATATTGTATGTCGTATCAAACTTATTAACTTCATTCGTGATGTTCAGTCGAAAACCAGTCACAAATTCATGAAGACATTAAACAAAACACTTGTTAAAGAACAAAATCACGTGGCATTTCCTACCAATCCACGAAAATACATACAGAACTTATCTAATAAAAAACTAAGTCGAATTGAAACGGAAGCACTCTGCCTTGGATTCAAATTTCATATCCCAAGAAAATGCAACAGAGTAGACACTGAAACGCAGTTTGAATATTTATATCAACAATTGTCAGACCTTAAACCCATGAACGACGAAAAGCATAGTTGGTTTAAATCTAAATTAGTGGATATCACAAACCAGTATGTTACGACACCAATCCCACACTCAAGGGTGTTCACCGAAGATCACCATCAAGCATTGGAAAAACTTATTAAAGACGAAACAATAATGCAACTTCGT